GAAAATTTTAAGGGAACTAAGAGAAATGTTACCTGTGAATTACATACAACATGTTCTGTGATGAAATAAAGAGGTATAGAGAACATGTAACTTTTGAAATTACATTTCCCTTCCATTACACCATAATGGAGTTTTCAGTAAATTCTGCTACACTAAATTTGAACTAATTTATGTATATTGCATTACCTGTTCATGAAACACTTTTATGAAGTGTGTTGTAAGACAGAATTCAGATTGTTTTTGAAACTGTGGACAGTACAAATCAAAGATATGTCAAAAAGACAGTCATGAATTCATTTGGAGCTGTTGAAAGTAAGTGATGTTTAGATTAGTAAATAGAAATGAGTGACAGTGTGTTTTTAGCTAGAACTTTTATTGTGCATTTTTGAATGATTAATATGCATATTGTAATCATGGTGTCTGTGTAATATATAAAATAACTGCAAATATCTTTTTGTTTGCAGATTGGCTCACAAATAGGACCCAGATTGTTATAACCAAAAATAATAACTTAATACAATGAATACGTGCCTCAGGATTTAGGATTTTAACATGTTTTGAAAATAATTCAGTTTATAATTAAGGAAATTGTATGTACATGACTTGTACAATTAGTTTGGAGTGCAAGAAATAATCTGTTTAACATAATCTCTTCTCATAAAAAAGAAAAGAAAAACAGTGGTGTACTGTGTACCATTTTATATGGTGGAGCTTCATCAACTGCTGGAGTTGTTGAATATAAGGTATGGATGATTTTCATTTTGTATTTTGAATATCATAATAGTATTTATTTGGAACAACTGAGGAAAACTATTAAACAGTTTGAACAGCCAAATCCAACAGAATAGTAAGATGTGATTCATTAATACAAGGGTTGTGAGTAGACTATTTTCAAAATACAACAAAAATTCCAGAAGTTTTAAGCTAAAGATTTTCATTATAATGGTATACAAATTAGTTGGAATAACCCGGCATGGATTGCAATCAGCACATATAAAAACTGTCATTGCCCTAGTGTAAAGTAATCCATGTCCTGCATAAAAGAAATATTTTAAAGCATGAATTTAAGGGAGACCAATTTCCTTTATCACAACAGCTGAGTCAACAGCCTCTACTCATTTTCACAACTAACCAGGTAGGGAAGCCCACAACGGACACAGTATTCCTGTGTAGAAGAAAGGCCATGCATTAGCACAGCTGCCAAGTAATCCCTCTGTAAGAAAACATAAACAAATTTGTTACATTCTGGTAGTAAGCAATGTCATACCAGTACCTTCTTTCATAAAAGCATGTGCACTCAAAATTCAGCCATGTTGGTGGGTTTTATGCATACATTACAAATGTAAGACTTGAGGTTTTCACAGCGGTGAGTATGAAGATTTCTGTCTCCTGAGGAGTTGTGCTGTGTAGTCTGGTTGATGTTTACCAACGTTTCTGAGGTCATACTGCCTCCATCATCGCCCTGATGACGGAGGCAGTATGATCTCTGAAACGTTGGTAAACATCGACCAGACTACACAGCGCAACAACCCAGAAGACAGAAATCTTCACATTACAAATGCTTTGTTTAATATTTTAAAGATTTATATTTTATTACAAAACTTACAAATTTCCTCCCCACCATCCTTTTATCACACCTTGTATTTTTTCTAGAAAGTGGCATGTGTTAAGTTCCATTAGATGCTGTTATATTCAGCATGTCTTCTGCATCACATCATTCCAACAGTACAATATGCCTGTTTAAGCAATTCATATGAAATAATAATGTAAGTCAAGTCAAGGATTAAGTAAAATGGGTGTTTTAAATACTTTGTTATGTGAAAAGGTTCTGCTGCCCCTATACAGACTTAGTCCTTGGGAATATGTTATGTATATAATTTTAATTTATTTACAGTAACATCTGGGTCCTATTAAAAATTAGTTAATTTTGTCATTTGGATGTGTGAATAAACCAAAGCAGTGATTGTAAGTCATGTTCTTGGTACAAGGATGCCAGTAGCAGATTTGGAATATTCAAGTAATATGGTGCAGTCAGTGATAGAAGAATGAAGCTTTGATATAATCATTTTCATGGTTGAACTGTAAATAGCGGAACAGATAAATAATGCTTTATCAGACATTCACTGCCAAAATGACAATTTTGTGAAGTCGGTGGATCACAATGTGAAGGAATACATTACACATAGCATGTGTTTAAGTACATATCAGTATGTTTTAAAAATATCTACCTTTTAAAGTATTCTCCCATTAAATTAAAATTATAGGATGCCACTTTCCATTGTACATTAAATTTTATTATACTTACCCAGTATGTACTTGTTATATTTTGTTTCAGTTATCACTTTCATTGTATTATTTTATTATACTTATGTTTCTAATTTAAAGTGCACTGTAGCAGCTGCTGGGAATGTATCAGCAATCACATGGCATTGTGAATGAGAATGTATGAATGAGTAGGTGAAACTTGATTGTGGTATGATGATTCTTGCCTTTAACAGAACATTTGTAATGTGTTGTTAAATAGTAATAGTTACTATTGCATTGACCTTCCATAGTAATGAAATTGCTATTCCTATTGTTATGTTCCAGTTCCATTCTTCTTATTTCAGTAGAATGGAGATTACATGGCCAAGTGGTAACTTACTGTTGTATATATGTAACTTCAGCTTTTGAGGAAATACTCTAAAAGCCAGAGTTACACATTGAACTCCAGCTGTGAAAACCTAAGGACAAGAATTAATGTAATAAGCATCAGAATTCATGAAGATTATTTTGTAGGATTTTACTATCTTTGCACATAACCTAGGCCTCCTTACACACAACAGGTTATTATTAATTTGTCATGATAGTAGTGGTGATTTAAGTTGTTACTTGCAGAAGAACAATATAATTTTGATTTGAAGCTTTCATAGGAACTAAAGTTAATAAAATCTTCTTGGGCAATCAGGCATGTCACATCAGAACCCTAATGATGGGAACAGAGATGGTTCCTGAATCATTAGTATCTTATTGTAACAATTTGACACAGCTGATTGCCTGAGAAGATTTTATTCAATATCACTTTGGTTCCATGTGTTTTGAAAAACTCAGTTTTTATAGTTTTTGCAGTATGATCTCTTGTTATTGCTATTAAAGTTGTGTTTGTACAATAACTGGCTTTTTATGTTGATTCTGCTTTGTGTTTATCACTACTGAAGCTACCCATTCTGAATCCATATTATATATATGAATCTTGAAGTCATCTTGTTGTTTATTATTGAGTGTTCTGTCTGACGACAGATCCATTGTTCTGCCCAAAAAGAGCTCGCCAGTTTTCCCTATTCTCAGCATCTCGTTTTAACTCCTGAAACTTCATCATCTTTCCTTGTTTAAGATCGTCGGTTAGCTGTATCAGTCTTCTTCCCAGTCCTCGCTCATCTTGTATACAACAGAAATGGTACCAGAAGATAAATCTTTAAATTGGTATAGGGTGATGTCTTTAGAGAAACAAGTCTAATGCAGGCAGAGTTTGACACGAGTGATCAAGTAAAAGTGGTGGCTGTGGGGGTTGGGTGGGGTAACAGTGTAATGACACTGGAAGTGTGGACAGATGTATGAAGTAATACCACATAATCAGTACTGTGACAGTCTGCTTTAATTTTTTTGTTGGCTTCTTCTGATCTATTTCCTGAAAAAATTGTTGATTACTTGTGTAAACAGTACATGATAAAGTGTTTGCATATGCTAATAGCAAGATCCTGTCATGTTTTGTATGTTACAAGTGGCTGTGTTGACGAACATTAAATGTTTATTCACCCATTGTACTGAACTGAAGAATGGATACTAGTTTTGAGTGTTACAGTGAAGGAAGTATGATTCTCCTATATAGCATTTCATGTTACCATGGTAATATGGTATTTCAGCAGTCACTTTGTGATTTGTAAACTAGTCGTGTGTAAAAGAAATTCATGAAACAACTGGAAAACATTTACTTGAATTAAGAGTAACCATCTCTGGAAATATATATTGTGAGATTTACTACATCACTGTAGCTTTAAAGAGCTAATGAAATCATAATGTTTCTTTTGGTTTTGAATAAAGGAAAAATGAGTAAATGTATTGTACATATTTTATGTGGTATGTGAATGATGCCAGGTACTTTTTTCATATGAATAAAATTGTTCTTAGTGATCAAGAAGTAGACTTTGGTATACTGTGTAAATAGTTTATATGGGTAAACTCATATATACCAGTCACATATACACAGATTAAAAGCAAGGTGTGAAATACATGCATTTAAAAGGTTTAGGTGTGGAGGCCATTGACTTTTGTTATAAAATTTGTTTTAAATATTTTTCTGTCATTATTTGTCTCTGTAGCAAGCTGTTAGAAAACACCAGAAAGTTAATGCCTAGTGAAAGGAAACTGAAAAAGTCCCAGACATGATGAAAGAAATTGCTATATCAAACAAATATAAAATCTTTTAGCCTCAGAAAAAAATTTCTTGGCCTAGGAATCCAAAGGAATCCTCTGTTGGGTGACCTTACTCCACCCTCCTTGAATTAGTGTCCATGAACCTCCAACCTTAATTACAAAAACTTTTGGATAAATTTGTGGGAACTGCCAGTATTATAGTAAATAAATAATATTCTTAATGTAAACTTAGAATTTAAAATAATATTCCTAATGCAAACTTTATATAATATTGCAGTTGCATATTTAAATACTCCTTCTCAATTATTAGTGTTACTTGTAAGTAAAGAAAAGTCACTTATGTTGCCATTAAAAAAT